AGCCGTTGTTCACTGACGAGCTGTGCAAAAAATCGCGCGAATATGAACGTGGTTTTGCGCAGCTCGTCAGTGAACAACGGCTCTGTGTAGTTAATGCTGCTCAATGTGAAAGCCCGCAGGTGATGGAGATTTACCGCTGATTACAGAACCGGCTTTACTGATAAGATGTGCGTTAAACATTGCATGCGATTTATCGTGCAGCCCTAGTTAAAACCGTAAAACCTAAAACGTTGCTATCGTATATTTTACGGTAAAATTCCGGCAACCACAGCTGCCGTTTTTTTACCGTAAATTTTTTACGGAATTTTTTTTACAGTGTATATATTAGTGCTGTCAAACGATTAATCACATCCAAAATAAAAGTTTTTGTTTGCATAATATATGTGTGTGTTCTGAGTATATTTATTATGTATATATAAATACACACACATACCGTAGGCCTATATATTTTGAAAATATTTACATGTATTTACATGTCAATATTTATATTAATTTAATTTATATTATAAATAAATATATTTAATAAATAAACATAACATATTTTTCTGAAATATATACATGCATGTGTGTGTATTTATGTATACATAATAAATATATACAGTACACACATATATTATGTAAACAACAACTTTTATTTTGGATGTGATTAATTGCGATTAATCGTTTGACAGCACATACATATATATATGTCTGTGCCAAATAATATGTGGCAATTTTGTTAGCATCATAACTCCTCTTTATGGAAAAGATGTACAATTCCTTAAAAAAAACATACTGACATCATAATTACATCATCACCATTTCAGCATGTGAACCCTTCAAGTAGGGGACAGTCTTGAATAGTCAACCCTGTTGTTACGATTTTCTACAGTAAATAAAATCTAAAATATATGAATTCTAAAATGTATTTGATCTTAAATGCATACTTTAAATCTATCATGTATAAAAGCTTTAAAGGAACACTCCACTATTTTTGAAAATAGGCTCATTTTCCAACTCCCTTTAAACAGTTGAGTTTTACCGTTTTCTAATCCATTCAGCTGATCTCCGGGTCTGGCGGTAGCACTTTTAGCTGTAGCTTAGCATAGATCATTGAATCTGATTAGACCGTTAGCATCTCGCTCAAAACTTACCAAAGAGTTTCGATATCTGGATGACAGGATATCGTTTGATATCTGGCTAGGAACTATATTCTTATTCCGGCGTAATAATCAAGGAACTTTGCTGCCGTACTATGGGTGCAGCAGGCGCAATGATATTACGCAGCGCCTGAAAATAGTCCCCAGCACGCTCCCTGTGCAAGCAGGTGGTCACGTTGGTTATGTTGGCGGAAGTTAGTCTATTTTCAGGCTCTGCGTAATATCACGTATATTTACTAGCCATATCGTATAGTTCCTAGCCATATCGGCCTAGAAAATCACAACTTTTCATTTTCCGTCGGTCTTAGTACAGGATGTAACTAGAGTCAAGTTTTAAATAGGAAAAATATAGAAACTCTTTGGTCATTTTTGAGCGAGATGCTAACGGTCTAATCAGATTCAATGATCTATGCTAAGCTAAGCTAAAAGTGCTACCGCCAGACCCAGAGATCGGCTGAATGGATTCGAAAACGGTAAAACTCAACTGTTTAACTCTAGGGGAGATGAAAAATGAGCCTATTTTCAAAAATAGAGGAGTGTTCCTTTAAGG